GAAGTCGCTCATCTGTCGAAGTCGCTCATCTGTCGTTGCCAATTACCTTCAATCATGCGGCAGCTCGAGAGAAGATGATGCGGTCAAGTCGTTATCGTAGTACATAAATGGGAAGTGCGGTTAGCCTCGTGAGATCATATCAACTCGTGTGCTGCCCGTCTTAGGCTAGTCGGATTATGTGTGGATATGTTTACCACTTATTACTTCGGAAATGTGTTGATCTTATTCTCTCATCTTCAAAAGACGTGTCTATACATTCTGTTGTTTATTTTTGCTTGCCTGGGTACAAAGTTATTGTAGAAAATGGTTCAAGAAAGGTCCAAAAATGACAATTTGACGGCCATTTTGTTTATGCAAATTAGGATATAGGCTTATCGGATTCAACATACTCGAATTATGTTAAAAAGTCTGGTTCCCAACTTTTACTCCAAAATGCCTCTAACATTCACATTTTTAGCTCGCCTTGACATCGTCAAGATGAGCTATTGCCATCGGGAGTCGTCCGTCGTCCGTCCGTCCGTCCGTCAACATTTGGCTACGGTCAACGATAAGTCGATAACTCAAGAACCGTTTGACCCACATGTTTCAAATTGCATATAGTTGTTACTCCTATGGGAGAGGTTTGAATGTCGTATTTTGGAGCACGCAGTCGACTTTTTGGCAAAAATGTAAATGGTCATAAGTCATTTCAGGTTCAATGGATTTTGCTCATTTCTGGTATGTGAATGAATGAGGACTGGCCCCAAAACATATCACACAGGTTTTGAATTTTTTTTAATTATTATGCAAATTAGGTAGATTTTGGCAATTTCACTATGCATTTCAGTGTCTGCCTACGGTCAACGATAACTTAAGAACAGTTTGACCCACATGTTTCAAATCGCATGCAGTTGTTACTCCTATGGGAGAGGTTTGAACGTCGTATTTTGGAGCACGCCAGTCAACCTACTTTCGAGCCACGCCCACTTTTTGGCAAAAATAAAAATGGTCATCTAAATTCATTCGATTTTGTAAAATTTTGGTACGTGAATGTGTAAGGCTAGCCCCAAAACAGTTGTTACTCCTATGGGAGAGATGACAACGTCCTATTTCGTTTATTTCGTCTAACTGGTTAACAACTCTACAATCATACCTATATACGTGTAATATTGTGTTTTAGATTCTTCGTTACAGTAATTTGACTGGAATATTTTATTGTTTTTATTTGCGCGATATTCGAAAACCAAAATGGCCATCATTTAGGCGTAGCGCCATCTCTCATCAAGATTTCAGACTTTCAGATCTGAAAAATTTATTTTCGCATCAAAACTTATGCATATATAATTATCATGAGTATATAATGGGAGATATGCTATATAATGGGAGTTCTCCCATATATACTCTTGCTTTATATATCCCCCCTCCTTCTTCTATCACACCCAAGGTGAGCTACAGTGTCATTGACACTTTCATTCAGAAATCCCACTAGTCTATCTGTACTGGCGACGATTTAGTGAGATCGGTTGAGGTCTGTACTCGAATGAGTTGTGATGTCGTATTCGGTTTCGACTTTGATGTCTGTTGGGCGCGTAAACATGTATGAACCAGTTTAGTGTCTGTGACCAGCTCGACTCCGCGTGATCGGTGTGTGAATTGTTTTGATTTTTCAATTCAGTGGTCGCTCGTGCATGCACTGTGCAAAATCGACGATGAAAGTAATAATAAGATCAATGGACTGATCTCTTGTTCATTTGGTAAACATCATGGAGCAATCCACGCCATTGACCGCTTTGATTTCTATTGAAAACGCATTGCATGCAGAATGGTAAATTTCTAAATGGAAACGGTTTCCACACACGAGCGCACGCCGTTGATTTGATTATGCCCTTATATCATAAAACTTTTAATATGGCTCAGACGATGACGTAATACGAAGCCCGTATTCTGCAGCCAAGCAGCAGCACACTAATGAGGTCAGTACAGCTATATGAGCGTGGTATACATCTCCTCCTCCTGCCTCCCTCCCTCATCCTTCTCCTCTTTCTCCTCCTCCTCCTCCTCCTCCTCCTGCTCCTCCTGCTCCTCCTGCCACCACCTCCCACTCCTCATCCTGCTCCTGCCCTCCTTCCTACGCCCTCCTCCTCCGCCCTCCCATCCCATCATCTTTCTCCCATCCTCCCTCCTCCTCCTCCCTCCTCCTCAACATCCTCCTGCTCCTCGCGCTCCCCTACCCTCTACCTCCTCCCTCCTGCTCCCTTCCTCATCCTTCTCCTCGTTCCTCCCTGCCTACCTGCCTCGCTCCTCCTCCTCGATCTTTTTCCTCCTCCTCCTCTTCCTCCTGCTCCTCCCTCCTCTCCTGCTCCTCCTCCTCCCCCTGCCCCTGCCTCCATCCTCTTCCTTCCTCTTCTCCTCCTCTCCTGCCCGCTCTGCCGTCATCCCTCTCGACCTCTTCCTCTTCCCTCCTTTCTCCTCCCATCCTCCTCGCATCTCCTCACTCTTTCCTCCTCCCCCTGCCCCTGCCCCTCATGCCTCACTCCTCCTCTCCTCTTCCTCCCCTGCCCTGCCTCATCCTCCTCCCCCCCCTCACCCCTCCCACTCCTCCTCCGTCTTCTCCTCTTGCCTCCCTCTTGGCCCCCCTGCCTCATCCCTCCTCGCCTCTAGCTTACACACGACGCGCCTAGTTGATACGCTAGCCTACGTCAGCCCTGATATCCGATAACGAATTTGCGCATTTGTGGCAATCGTGCAGGCGTATACAAGTCGCTAGACTAGCTCTGCCGCCTGGTACCATCTGATATGTCGTGGGGCGCTTTCGTATCCTGCTGAATTCACCATCCATCATCCGTTTTCATAACACCTTATGAAAGGTTGCGGACATACATGCGCTGGTTGTAGTCTCAGATAAACCCTCGCCGTGACTTGTGATTCTGGCCGCGACCTTTACTAACTTCGGGCTTAAGTTAATAAAGGGCCAGTACGGGGCAATAACCCCTGATCGTCGTACGCCTGCTATTATTATGATTACCTCACACATTGCTGCGATATAATACCCCAGTATTACCCCTAATACCCGTTCATTCAGTGATTGATATATCATTTCTTCTGCGAGTTTAGTACCACAGGATTGCACTGGGGAAACTAAGTGGGTAATGGTAAAGTGTTTGAGAATTGGTCAATGTCGGTGTGTCAGTATAAATGACCAGTATAATCAAGGATGAACATTACACTGGCTCGTACTCACTCGACCGTAAATCGTTGAGAATCGATGAACTGGTGGCAGTCGGGGACTCGGAGTCAGTCTAGGATGAACATGCAATCTCTGATGATTTGCATTCATGAGAGTTGCATTTATGCAGGAGTAGATAATAGGGAATTCCCTATTATTGCCTATTTCCAATTGCTTATTGCCAATTCCCTATTATCTACTCCTGATTTATGTCATTGATTGCAGGATATAAACAATATATTATCAGGAGTAGATAATAGGTAATTCCCTATTATCTACTCCTGATATTATACATGTGCCTGTATATAAGCGTCACCCGAGTGAAACCCAACAAATTCCTTTATAGATTGATACACTTTCCATTAGTGGTTTTACTGTATAACTAATTTCTAAAATGTCCGTTATATACAGGCAACTGTGCCAGAGATGTGACCGCTAATGTTGACCGCTAATGTGACCTAAATGTTGACCGCTAATAAGACCGCTAACCGTTTATGTTCATGTTCATGTGTTTGTGCGTGCGTGCGTGCGTGCGTGCGTGCGTGTGACCCAGCAGTATTCAGCAGGATAGTAAGGACGATGTTTGCGTTTGTGTTTGTGCGTGCGTGCGTGCGTGCGTGCGTGCGTGTGATCCAGCAGGATAGTATAACGACGATGTTGTGTTTGTTAGTGTGTGCGTGCGTGCGTGCGTGCGTGCGTGCGTGTGACTCAGCAGGATACTAACGACGATGTTTGTGTTTGTGCGTGCGTGCGCGTGAGTGCGTGCGTGTGATCCAGCAGGATAGTAACGACAATGTTTGCGTTTGTGTGTTTCACAGGAGGGCAAGTCGAAGCCCAAGCATAAGCCAGTGCAGGAAGACGATGACGACGACCTGCCGATGCCGTCGCAGGGGCCCCCTAAGGGCCGGACACGGCGTGGCGCCGTCAGTGCTGAGGTCTACACGGAGGAGGACGCGACCACATACGTGAAGAAGGTAGGTGCCAAACTCAACGACAGATGGCGCTCTCGCTCTGGCTCAATTCACATTCAATTCAATTCAATTTCAATTCTTTCTTCTCATTCGAAGGGGTCGCTGGGTGTTACCTTAGCAATTTTGCCTGTAGATCCGTGTCGAATAGCAGTAGAACTAACAAGCGTGCAACACAAAACCACAAGTTCCTTAGGTTACGGCGCCAAATGTAACCTCGTACTTCGGTTACTTAGGTGAGGTAGGCAGCGGGTAAGAGAACAGGGTATAAGATGCGCAAAGACAAGACGCAAACACGAACTAGCGAAGTAACGTACCACAAGCGACTGTATTGATAGCCATAATAGTACAAGTACAAGACGTAGCGTACAAATGCAACGTGACAAGGTAGAACACAGGGAGAGAGAGAGTCGAGCTCCCCGTGCCTGAGTGCCGCTCGCCTTATATACCCCGGCGATTCCCGTGCCCGCCATCCGGGCATTATCCTGTCACCTCTTGGGTTCTCCAGGTTCCCATTCTGCCGACCCCCGTCTTACGAGGGCCGCATCTCATGATGTCGCGTATCACGTATCCTGCTCTCCGCTCTCTAAGTGACCATTCACTCTAGTCAGTCGTTACCACCTGTACGACACCTGTACCACCTGTGGCCCTGCTACCGGCTGTCGCCCGCTCTCCGCTCACTCGGCAACGTGCCTAATTAATGAGCTCGAGCGCAGCATCGCTACACATGCAGTTTGGGTATGTGCATGAACGACTGCCGCCACGCCGAGAGAGAGAGAGAGAGAGAGAGAGAGGTTCGCATTGTCGGGAACGCGTAATGAACACAGCAGTGTGTTTTAATGAATGGAGCAATTTGTTCTAATGAATATAGTATTGTGCGCGATTGAACATAGCAATGTGTTCTAATGAACATAGCAATGTGTTCTAATGAACACAGCAGTGTGTTCTAATGAACATAGTAATGTGTTCTAATGAACATAGTAATGTGTTCTAATGAACATAGTAATGTGTTTCTTACGTGTACCCAGCTCTGACTGTGACGCGGGGGAGGGGTTTGCTGGGTATCTTTGATAGTAGGTGGCGCTGAAGTAGAGGGCTTGTTGCCGGGACTCGGGTGGTGGCGGCTACGTCGTCTGTAATGTCAGGCACGGTCGCCTGTAGCTCTCTATCTCTGTAGCTTCCATCGCTATAATGCGGACCAAGGCAGGCATATTGCTGAAGCTAGCTTAACTGGCTGTGAAAGCCAGTGTGGTCACGGTAAGGAACAACAGGGTCTTGAAAAGGTCAGTTGTAAGTAAAAAGGTTCGCAAGGGAAATTACCCGTGGGCAGGCCGCTACCCTAGATACGTCTATAATAAATATTCTTAATTGATATCTATAATATATATCTATGATATATATATGATATATAGATCCACAGTATTACGAAAACTGATTTGAGGGTAATGCATTGCCCTACATTCGCTATTATTCTCGGTTGTCTATTGGGCGCTATGATTGAGCGGGTGATCTGTTTAGCGGCGAGTGGTAGTTGTGCTTCATCTAGCATCTCCATTTCTAGTACTATGTGCTTCTCGGTGTTCGCACGTAGCAATTTAGCTTCACGTAATTTCAGGCCGCGTTATCAATGAAGCGTTAAAGCTAGTGCGTCACTGACTATACATCAAGCGGTCCATTCGCGCATTGCGTTCGCGATTTGTCATCATCTATCAAGGGCCCGTGAACCTCGTGTGAAACGGCGAGTAGCGAAAGTCGAGCTTTCCCTGTACTACTGGGAGATTCTCGCGAGCCTCTGAATCGCGCACAGGCACTTGGAGCGTTTCATTAAAATATAATGCAAAATAAATACGAAATCAATTTACTACCAAAGTCTTAATGTTTCTCTACTCTCTTGCGCCTATTATTGCCGACAATTTCCTGTAAATGGCGTGCAAATGCTCCTCTGCAACACACATGTATACCGCGCACACATTGCCGCACACTGACATATATATATATATATACATATACACATAAAAATAAAAATAAATACATAAATGTGTATATGTATATAATTATATGTGTCAGTGTGCGGCAATGTGCGTGCGGTATACATGTGTGTTGCAGAGGATCGTGTGCGCGGCATTTACAGGAAACTGTCGGCAATAATAGGCGAAAGAGAGTAGAGAAACATTAATTAAGACTTTGGTAGTAAATTGATTTCGTATTTATTTAGCATTATATTTTATTGAAACGCTCCAAGTGCCGGTAGAATCGCGGGTTTCAAATAGCCAATGTCACGTAGACTGTCCCCAAGTCGTTGGCTTCGCGCAGAAGCTTTAACTGCGTGGTTGTAGTGCAGCATCGGCGAGTCACAGTGTAATCAAAAACCTGATCGAAAAATGCAAAAAAAGAAGAAGAAATAGCGCGTGATAGCTCTTTTTGTCGCGTTAATTACTCAATAATGTGATTATCCCCGTATAACGCGATCCTGTATCTCACGCTTGTTTCCGTAGTTCGAAATATCGCTTCATACGCGCCCCGCTACTGTAAAGTAACGTCATAAGGCCAGTAGATAGTGATTAGCAGACGATAGTGTTGTCGTGTTAGCGTTGCTATGTTTGAGTGACATCGTCGTCAGCTTTGCCGCTGAATTAATTAATTAATGCTAAACGGTTTCTCTTCGGGCAGTGTGTACCAACACTCACGTCTAGTGTGTGTTTTAAGCAGTCTCGCTAAGTTCGTGTGAATTAGTGTTAATTGACATGCCATTAAATCGGGAGTTTCATCAAGTACATAGAGACCATGTGCATGCCGTGACGGAAAGGGGGAAAAGTTTTACCTGCGACTTTGTGCTCAGCTCTCATTTTGTTGTTTGCAAATCAGATTTTTGTGTAGGGCATAGCTTCGATACGTACGAAGGTGGTCTTAGGAACACCGATCTACATATTATCGCGGTGGTAGTTATACATCAGTCGCTGGAAGCTTTGTAGAATGCTGCAAACAAAAGCACATTCGTTCCACCTATAACAGCATCCACCAGTACATAACTCTTTCTTCGTATTTGCGTAACCGGCGGTGGGTGGGTGGGTGACGCGGCAGGTGGGGTGGGAGGGGGTGGGGGACATTACAGATAATGACGTTCGCAGAAACCGTGTTGCACGTTTGAAGCTAGGTCCATGCGTTTGTAGAATATGCGTGTTCTGTGGCGTGTAACAGCTAGGTGGTTATGTAAGGCAACTATTGCGGGTATCATGTGTGCATAGCTGATGAATCTTACCAATGATTAGCAGGCAGGTAGGTGTTGGATATCGTGTATTGTTCGTCCGATCTGTGTGGAACTAGAGGGCAGCCACTTGCACCTGGTTTTTGATTAGATGGACTCCCAGAGATTGCTGCCACACGCAATGCGTATAGATCCAATATATTTTTGATATACATATCTCACACAGATACATGCGTTGGTGCGTTCAATGCACAGAGCCTGAGGACTGGGAGACAGATAGATTGCGAAGGGGGGAGGTTGAGAGAGCGCGGGAGAGAGATGGGGAGCGAGAAGGGGATGGGAAGAGAATGAGAGCGAGCGAGGAGAGTGAGTGCATATAAACTTGTGCGAGAGTAGCTTTTATGGTTGTTGGAATGATGACAGAATAATATTCTAGTGACATGATGGTGCAGTCATTACTGTCTAGATATATTTTACTCGCTGCATTCGGAATAGTGTAAAAACTACAGCTGTAAGTGACAGTGCACGTCGATTCACATGCAATTATATACTGCCGCCTTTGAATATATTAACTTTGGCTCTGTCTTTTACGACATAATATGACGCCCACCCACCACACCGCTCATGTGCATAATATATTGCGCAAGCCAGGGGCATTTTATTCGCTTCTAGACTGATCCCGAGTTGTTTTGACCTGTGCTGGCTTAATGCGCCGCTCGCACGAGAGTTCTCCAGCGATACATACATCGTGTCAGTCTTAATTGGCTCACAGTAGTCATTATGAGGTTCTTCTAGAAACTGTTATGCTCACCCGTAGAAAGTGTCTAGTCACACTGTCGTGCCGTGCGATTGTATAGCATAATAAACTAATTTAACATAACTATATAACATAGTATAACTAATTTCGCCACCATCGCTACGCGCAGTATTCCAAAAAATGGAAATGTCTCGTAGCGCAAATATCCGGTAATGAAATGAAAGTGGCTGGTAAAACTATGCAGACGCCTGATTGGGAAATTGTGGAATCGCTAATTAGGTGGATTAATTAGTAATTAATTAGTGGATTGGAATAAAACCCGCGCTCGCTACGGAATGGATTGAATGTGGTTTACATGTACTGGAGAGACAAGCCAGACACGCGATGCAGATGAGGATCTCTGTGTGGGAACACATTAGGCCGTAGCTATTTCGGGGGATTTTTAGTAGGTGAGACGGTGCGTACACCGTGTAAGTAGACACTAAATCGTTGTTCTTTCAATCGCGAGCGCGGTCGCAGACTGCCTTACAGAAAGTAGTAGCATTGATCATGAGCAACACGTGGCGCTTTCAGACAGCGTCTGTCAAAACGAATTTGCATCGGTCGAAGCGCAGGCTAAGCCGTCTTTCTTATAGGCGTATTGTATTGCGTCTAATGCAATATTTTCGTCCCTTCTCTTTCGTGTGGCAGTAGCTATCAAAGCTCTGCTTTTGTGTGCGCTTTCGACGCGCTGCGCAAATGTCAAGTTAGGTTAAGTCTGGCTCGGTTTGTGTTTTGAGGGAATAACGTGAAGGGTTATTCCTACTGCAGGTAGTGCCCAAGGACGACAAGACGAGGGCTGATCTATCCAAAGCTATAGGAAAGAATGTTCTATTCGCGCACATAGACGATGACGAAAAGAGGTGAGTTTGAGAGCTATCATTGTCTTCCTCTTTCTCCCGTGCACGCTCGACTGTCATCCTCCCATACGAAGCGGATGAAACATCGGCTGGATAGGCTGATGGAGAGGTGAAAAAAATCCAGCTATTCATATCGCCGTAACCTTTTCACTTTTGTTCGCTTTTTGTAGTGAATAGCGATGGCTTAGCTGAATTGTGCGACAGGGTGTGTGTGTAATGTGCGTGAGAGTGCAGTGGTGCGCTTCAGTAGCATTATATATATTTTTGGTAAATCATCATAAATATATTAGTCTGTCTGTCTGTCTGTCTATCTGTCTGTCTGTCTGTCTGTCTGTCTGTCTGTCTGTCTGTCTGTCTGTTCCGTCCGTACCGCTACCGTCCCGTCCCGTCCGTCGTCCGTCCGTTCCGTCCGTCGTCGTCCGTCCGTCGCTGCGTTCGTCCGTCCGTCCGTCGCGTTCGCTCGTCGGTCGGTCGCTCCGTCTGTCGCGTCGTCCGTCGTCCGTCCGTCCGTCGCTCGTCGGTCGGGTCGTCGGTCGTCGCTGTCCGTCGGTCAGTCGGTCAGTCGGTCGGTCCGCCCGTTCCTCCTGTCTGTCTGGCTGTTCTTCCGTCAGTCCGTCCGTTTTTTGGGCTGTATGCATGTCTCCGCCACTCGGTACCCGCCAATCTCTCTCTCTCCTCTCTCCTCTCTCCTCTCTCTCTCTCTCTCTCTCTCTCTCTCTCTCTGCCTCCGATCTCTCTCGTCTCTCTCTCTCTCGTCCTCTCTCCTTCGCCTCCTCTCTCTCTCTCTCTCTCTGCTCTCTCTTCTCCTCTGCTCTCCGATCCTCGCTCTCCCTCATTCTTCTCTCTCATCTCTCTCTCTCTCTCATCTCTTTCTACCTTTCAGCGTTTCCGTTGATTAAACATGCATGCAGGTGTTGCTATTATACGTAGTAGCGAAAACACGAAAGCGTGCCAATGTTGCCAATTCTTGCGTCGCTTCGCATAGGATACATCGGCAAAGAAAATGTCGGCGTCTCAGCGCGTCGTTATGCGAGCATTTAAGGTGATGTACAACAGTAGAAGGCGTCTTTAGGCAGGAAGCCTGAATAACTCGAACAGAAATGATTAAGAAACCTCACAACTGTTCGAGGTCGCATGCACAACATGCACCTTTATTCGTGTTAATATCTCACAGATTCATGTCTATGCTCCGCTCGCATTTTCTACAGAGTCGTCGGATCCCGTTTCAAACACAAAAATGGTCCTACGGATTCGCATGGCAAACCACTTGCTGCAATGCACAATTACACGACAAGAACGCAACTTACTTCTAAATGCGTTCGAGACGTTCCACGGGGCATCTAACTTGCGTGCATAACTTCATATGCAAATTAGTGCACTCTAGTGCGCCGATATCACCGAAAACATCCCAAAAAAGGCCTTTTTTAGGGACCAAATAGTGCAACGGTGAACTTACTGTTGTATGCACCCTATAACTTGACTAAGACACTAAGACATACGTGTCGCTAGCGATCCCATCTAGCGACGAGTCGGAGCAACGCCGGCGTGGTAAGTCTAAACCGGGAGAGCGCTTTATTTATAGCCTAGGACGAGTAGAGAGAGTGAGAGAGAGAGAGAGAGAGAGAGCGGTGCGTACATACACACACACATGGCCCGTAGACGCGTGCCGCATAGCGACGCGCGCCTCAATAAATAGCTCCGACAGAGTGGTCCCTGTGCTGTGCTGTACGCACGTCGGTTATTGCATGTATCTCGATATCAGTGGAAATACGTACGGCGAGGAGGAGCCTCGGGCGGGATTACGATATAGAATCTTAATGTCGTGTAAATCTGCGGTTGAGCTCCGACTTAAAAACTGCGTTCACCGAGACTCTTATTTCGAACTTGATTAGTTTTTTTCCCCTATTTTGAAGTCTTTGGCGTGATCCTCCGATGAAAGTGACGTCGGTTGCCGCGCGATGATTTTTCGCGGGGATTATTTAGATGGGAAATGATGGCGTAGCCCTTATATAATATCATCAAGCCGTAGAAGGTAATGTTCCGCCTTGTTAACATTACCCCGTGGAGCTTATTGTTGCCGTGGACTGGGTTTCTTTGCGATCAAGTGTGAGTGCTTTATGACACACAAGGTTACTGTACTGTCACATCAAAGTCAGGAATACTCTTCGCTCAATGACGCAAATCGATTGTACTATGACACGAAAACAAGATGATTATAGTCACACGGGCAGATTAAATCGTCGTTCCCAACCGCCGAAGCCGCCGAGACCACTTGATTACGGATTAGTGAGATTCAGCCTGTATAAGCTACATACATCAGCTTGGCATACATATATAGTTCTTCCTCGTTCCCGTTTATTGCACTACAGGTCGACCCTCACATGCCCGTGGAGGTCATGGAAGGGCAAACACTAATCACAGAACGAAGCCGTATATATAAGCCTATTAAGCCTATATAAGCAAGAGCATATAAAGAAGGCTCCTTTAAACCTTCTTTATATGCTCTTGATATAAGTAATATGTAAGCCAATTAGCACTAGTGCTGTAACTAGCACTGTAGCGTTGTAACTATATAGCAATAGTTCAGTCACAGTGCTACACCTAGACGCTGCACGGCTCCCACTGTTTCTCTGCGAATCTATGATCTTCTTCCGACAGTGTCGTCGATGGCTTCTATACTTTGCGTAGGTCTCATCATCATGAATGCACAATGCGCCGAGCGTGTGGTTTTTACTCATTCCAACGTCTCCTGTCATTACTCGTCGGTTACGTGATATGACCGGAGATGAAGTCTGCATAACGAGCAGCAGCAGCAGCGGAGAGAGAGAGAGAGAGAGAGAGAGAGAGAGAGAGAGAGAGAGA